CAAACAAGCTAGTTTGGGTGGGGAAATATTTACAATTATGTTAAAGAGTAAGGACCTTTTTTTTTGTATCCAGAAATTATGGTAACAAATCATTAAATAAAAGTTGAAAATCTTGTAAACATGATTTTAGTATTTTGTATACGTATGCGTGGATACACTGTATAGACGAGCAAAACATGCATGAAATATGTATTCGCATTAATTCGAAATAAATAATATACTGATCAGTGGCGAAGTATGCCCCAGCAATTGCGAGTGAGGAGGCGAGTTAAAAGGGCGCCCGAGGGGCTTGACGAAATTAAGAATTGCCGATTGGTTTTTAGTTTAATTGATTTTACACACTAAGGTTACGTTTTAGTGACTAAACAGCATATAGCGATACGCCACCTAACCCTTGTATTACGTTTTAGTGACTAAACAGTGTATAGCGGTACGCCACCTAACCCTTGTATTACGTTTTAGTGACTAAACAGCATATAGCGATACGCCACCTAACCCTTGTATTACGTTTTAGTGACTAAACAGCGTATAGCGGTACGCCACCTTACACTTGTGTCACGTTTTAGTGACTAAACGGCGCATAGTGGTACGCCACCTGCCCCTTGGTTCACGTTTTAGTGCCTATACAGCATATAACGGTGCTGTACCTTACCCCAGTGTTACGTTTTATCTGAAGTCGAGAAGTTTCTACCGTAACCATGGTAACCTAGTTGTCTGTAGAGATAATTATTTTCTCTCTTTGTCGCTAAAACATCACATGTATGTTTTGGAAACAGAAAAGATTGAACTAATTTTCTTTATCTGGACTTTCAACCTTTTTTTTTCCTCTTCATTTTTTTATTTATAAGTGGCTAATATTACCTGTCTACAGTATACAGGCTATAAAAATGTCATTGCGGGATAGAACACGTGCTGTTCATCTATGATACTGGATGCGTATGTAAGGGTCACGCGATACGGTATAATATCAGTCTTCAAACAACGTCAAAATATTTCTCTAATTAACAAAACTACAACATGTTCATGGTTCAGACATCATTACCTAATGCACTGTGCAATGTTCTGAACCCAAACTTCTAGTATATTTACTTTTAGCAGCGATAAAAACGGATATTATTTTTAAAAATCATCAATATGAATGAAGATTTGATTGTTGTTAAGCGCAAAGCTACACAATGGGCTCTCTGTACTCTGCCCACCGCGAATACTGAAACCCCATTTTAAGCGTTAGAAGCCTTCAGAATGAATTAGGAAGCCGTGAATTGGGCGAGGTCAATTTTAGATGAATTTCTATTATTTTGTGATACAGTGGTATCACTGGAAACCAGCGGTTTCAGGATATAGTTATAACGGTTACTGACAGTCTTCGGCTGTTAACTGTAATTTTGAAAAATTGAGAAATTCCAACAAAATTAATAATAGATTATATTGTCTAGTTCAAATAAACAGAAAAGAATTTCGCGCAAAGCTACACGAGGATTATCTGCGCTAGCCGTCCCTAATTTAGCAGTGAAAGACTAGAGGGAAGGTAGCTAGTCATCATCACCCACCTCCAACTCTTGGGATTGACCGTAACATTATAACGCCCCCACGGCTGAAAGAGTGAGCATGCTTGTTGAGAGGGGGATTCGAACCCGCGACCCGCAGATTGCTAGTCGAGCGCCCTAACCACCTGGCCATGCCGAGCCTCAGAAAAAAGTGAGCTGGAGATAAGCACGCTCACACAACTTAACGCAATGTGCAAATTTGATCAGTGGGACAGGTATCCGATCGCAACACTATTAACACCGCAAGAGACACCATATGTAATATCCGCTTTCCAAACAGCTCGAACTTTCTGTAAAACTGACGTCGATATTTGATCAGTGGGACAGGTATCCGATCGCAACACTATTAACACCGCAAGAGACACCATATGTAATATCCGCTTTCCAAACAGCTCGAACTTTCTGTAAAACTGACGTCGATACCTGCACTCTTAGGTAATGTCAAATGGTATACTTTCTGGCAAAAGTTGAAAAATATTTGAGTAATAAATATTAGCATTAAAATAT